GTCATCAGTGTCCCTTGAACTTGACGTCCATGGAGGATGACCTCCCCATCTAGATCTTTCCTGTGTCAACAACCACAGGTAAGACGAGGGATCATCCCAGAAGTGCATGGTAGGACCTGGTCAATGATCTGCAGAGAGCTGACCCCTCAGTCTGAAAGGTTACCATAGTAACACACTACACCATTATGGACTAAAATGCTACAGTGTGCACAAGGTTCCCCTGCTCAAGCCGGCACATATCCAGATATGTCTGAAGTTTGCCAATGTCAATTTGGATGATCCAAATGAGACCAAAGTAGATCTTTCTGGCATAAACTTCACTCACCAAGAAGAAGAGGAATGAGTGCAGTCTGAAGACCACCATCCCCAACGGGAAGCATTGAAACGTCAATTGTGAAGCACGACTGTTCTGATAGATACAAAACATTCTGGGCAACAACCTCCTTCCCTTGTTGCAGATGTGTCGTGGCTCAGTCTTCCAGCATGACAGTGACCCGACACACACAGCCAGGGTAACTCTGGAGTGGCTCCATAAGACAAAGGTCCTGGAGTGACCCAGTCAGTCTCCAGACCTGAACCCAACAGAGAGAAAGTCTTTGGAGGGAACTGAAACTCTGGTTTTCCCTGAATGCTGAAAGATCTGGAGGAGATTTGCAGGAATGAGCCATTGCTGCCGAGTGAAACCTGGTCAAGAACTACTGGAAATACCTAACCTCTGTAAGTTAGTACTTACTGCCACAATAAATACTAAGTTCTATTTCTCCATTGAAACACAATCAAACTAACTATTCAAAAGTTGTGCATTATTTTCAAGTGAAAACTGTTGTATATCTACAATAAACTGACAGACCACCATTCTTTGTATGTGGGGAAACTCAACGCATTTGTACTGTTTCAAATATTTATTTTCCCCACCGTACAGCTTGTAGAAACACTGACTCGTTTCAGTGATAAGCCTGTCGGAAAGATCCACCTCGCAAAATCCCCTGAAGCTTTCCTTGTCACAAAATGCCTCTCTTGGTCCAGTAATGGGCACCCTGCCTTCTTTTTCATCCCAGTACAGTAGATAATGTCCCTACAACTGCTCCGACTCAGCCGGATCAGACGGCTGGATGGGTGAAGACAGAGTGGATCTCTCTGTCAGGTGGCCCACTGCCAGGTCCACTGGGCACATTGCAAACACCAAGGGAATGTGTGCCCCCCTCTGCTTAACCATTAACCTCCCTCCTCTCACCACCACCCTCCCCACCTCTTCAAATATCAGGCCCTCTGCCAAGCCAGAGTGTCCAGTTTCTTGTGTCCCTGGATAGCTTCTGTGTAAGGACACCGGGCAGCAATCCCCGGCTCATACCGACTAACATCCAACAAGGAAACTGTTCCTCTGCGGGGAATTAAGTGTGCATGCCTTGCTGGTCCCCAAGCATTTTCAGCAAGTGCCAGAGCTATAGAGATTTGGTGGATCTTATCTAATTACGCAGCTACATGAGTTTGGAGAAATAGTGCACGGAGTTCAAATGGAGCTGCGGAGCGCTGTGCAAAGGTTTTAAAGATGGCCGAGACAGACTGTACAGCTGATGTCAGCACTATTTTCTTCCGTTCATGTGTATACAGAAGGCATTTTCTGAAAAATCTAGCGTTCAGCATAAAGTTAGGTTTGCATATTTGGAGGAAGGACGCTGGGTTTACTTTGTTACTGAATCAAGGTTGGTTTTTCATGGCATTTTTGCTTACTTTTCCTACACAATGATAATACCCGGACCGCCTTCGGCTGAAATCAATACGTTGTAAAACAATAACCACCTGATGGCCATCCTGCAAACACTTGATTGGACTCAGATTTAGGATATTTGGAGATTAACCCGACACTCTAAACCTGTCGTTTTGACCCTCTAAGCATTGCTGAGCCATTTTTCTCTCCATTGTGGCAGGTTGCATAATCCTACGGAAAGAGACCACAGACTGATTGGTCTGGAACCATGCAGACCTATATGGAGCAAAACTCGATGTGCTGTGTATTCTCATTAAGCCTGTCACAATAAGTGATAAATCACTTAATCGCATGATAAATTAAAAACAAGTTCAGTCATTTCCATTTGCATAATTCATTGTTTGTCTCTTTCTACTGAAAACTGGATGATAACAGTCTTCAATCTAACCAGCCCTGTTTTTTGTTTTTTTGAAGGTCCATTTTGTTTACACAGATTTCATAATGCACTTATTGTTATTGTTTTTTTCCTGTTGTTTATTTTGGTTATTTGAAATAACTTCCAGATGCAGTATTAAATGCTCATTCAAACGTTAAAGTGAATATGTTCTTGTGTTATTTTACCACTACATTGCTTGAAAACTATCTCAAAGTAACAACATCACAGCAATAACCTCAGGGACAATTTATCGTCCAGTAAAACTCAGGCACAATTCTGATGTTGCTTTGACATTCGCCGGCATCCACCTTTTTAAACACACAGTTCCTCTGCTTCTGAAACACCAGCTTCGAGATTATTATTATTTTTTTTTAATCCCGTATGCCATCATGTAAAGAGACAGACCAGTCAGACGATGCTGCGTCTGATGGGTGTTTGCTCTCAGAGCAGTGCGGATTTAAGAAAGCCAAGGAACATCAGTAGCAACATGGGGACGTTTCAACACAGTCTGGACCCATTCAAGGTCACCGACTAGCTCACCTGATCGCTGGTTTCTGGGCAGTAAAGTGCAGCTACGTTTTTTTATTTCTAGCCAACAAGTAATCAAAGTCTATTTTCAAAAATAGCTGTGCAATCGATTTATGTTAAATAATTGCTTCAATTACTAAATTCTTGTACAGTAACAAGTATGTTGATTATTTAGCATCAGTGTCAAACTGTGATACAGCTCATGCAATGAAATAACATGTTTTGTGTCTGATACATCCGGTTTGAAAGATCTTTGCATGGAAAACTTCGAGGGACTGATGTGCAAGTCTGAAACATCAGCAGTGTCTCCGTGGGTCATCTCGTTGTGACGTTTTGTCCATTTCCGGTGTGAACGACGTTGACCAAGCGTCACGGATTCGATAAAAACCCACTTGGCCACGTGAGAGCGTTTGGCCGTTCAGTCTGTTCAGCACCGAGAGGTCGCGGATAGCTCCCGGAAGAGACGACGACCAGCCGGGGAAAAGTTAACCTCACCTCCAAAAAAACCCCCCCACACAACACACATGTGAGCGATAAATAAAGAGAAAGCGCCGCTGTTGGCGTTCAGCTCCCGAAGCGTTTCGGGAGCTGAACGCAACCGGCTGCGTTGACGGAGCGGGTCCTCACGGTACCTTATCAGCGGCAGAGACGGTCGGCAGCGCCAGGTGTCCTAGCCGAGCCTTGACGCGGCGCCTCTGTCCCACGCCGACCACCGAGCCGCAGTAGAGAGCCGCAGCGCCGGCCGCGATGCAAGCGCCGGCCGCGGCCCTCCTGCCGTTTGACGCGCCGCTCCCGAGAGCAGCGACCAGCCTGCGCAGGGCGGCGGCCATGGTTGTTTATTCTGACATCGCGGACATCGCGAGAAGCGGTGGGGGCGACGAGATGAGACGAGATGAGGGGGTGGCACGTAGATTCAGCGCTTATCTAAAAGCGCTATTTCATTGCTCTTAGCGACTCTGGACTACCTACTAATCGAACACCTGCAGCTAAACTGGAATTATTTTATGCCGTTTAAAAGGTTACAGGAAAATCAGTGTGATTCCAAAAAATATACATTGTGAAAATTTAAAATATGCATTTTTTTTTATTTAATCTTTATTTATTGTCTCATTGTGACCCACTGCGGTAAAACAAACTAAACGACCACAAACAGGGCAAAAAAGTAATTGAGAAAAGTGAAAATGAAATGATAATGTTCTAAATTTAAAGGCTTTTTTGCTGCTTTCAACATGATCCAGCATGACTGGTCAAATCTGGATAGTGTTATCCTACAGTTAAGGTAATTTCTATGAAACATAGTTTTTGAGATTGGAGATATTTCTTCAGATATTATTTTTAAGGCTTTTTATGTCTTGTACCAGGATCCAGCTTGAAAATGAGTTGAGTTTCAGGTCTCAACCACTTTTTGTGTTTTAAAATATGTTCATGTTTTATATCTTTACTAGATTCTAGAACGGAAGTCACAGAGCAAAGTTTCAGCACCACCTGCTTGCGTTGGTCCATTGTCTTTTTAATGACAGAACATCAAATCTCAACTCCACTCAGCTGTCAGATGGTCTGACTGCAGTCAGTCTTCACACTTATATCCAAAGGAGTTCAGGTGGTTACGGATTCATTTCCAAGATGCTGTTCTCTGTGTGAACCAAAGACCAGGACAGAAAGCTTTTCAACACCCTGGAACCAATTATAGAAGGATCTAACGACGGAGGATACGATTTCATCGAACGGTTTCAAAGGTCTCCAGAATCACAAAGTGACAGGATCCACTGACTTTAGGTGTTTCATGTGATTTGCTTTCTAAGAGTCGTGTTTTGAAATTGTCTTGTTTTCATCTCGTTTTGCTGATGGATATCCCAGGACACTCTTGTAAAAACAGGCTTTCAAAATCAATGAGTTTCACTTATAGATAGATAGACAGATAGATAGATAAGGGTCACAAACAAACAAAGTTGCACAATTTGACTACTCCTGCAGAGTTAAAGCTATAGAACCAAATATATTTGATTATTTGATAATTTACTGAGATTTTGCTCCTCAGAATTCAGAAGAAGCTCAGAGTTCTTCTGTTTTGTTTTTGTGTGTGTGTTTTTTCACCCCCAGTGGCCCCCAATCTTCTTCAGGGTGTTGGTTGAGTCCGAAACTAATGTCAATGCTTGCTTTAGATCTAAACAGCTGTAGTGTTTTTTCCTCCACCAGCCCATATCTCCCGTGTCTCTTCCACTCCGTGCCTCAGGAGAAGGGGGGGTAAAAATCGCCTGCCAGGGCACGCCCATCTCCAGCGCTGTGGTTCTTTCACCTGCCTCACCAACCCAGCCACTTTGAGCTCAGACCTCCAGGGATTGCTTCACCTGCAGCCAGCACCGAGCGCTTCCTCCGAGGCGAACCGCCGGGCCCGACGCTGCGGACAGGTGTCCGAACATGAGCGCCGACGGCCGCTGACTGCAGCCCGCCTCCATCCAGGACCAACTCTCTCTGCGGCGCAGGGGAAAGCGGCGAGTGTTTTCCCCGCGCCGCCGCGGGGGGACGTGCGCTAAGTAACGGAGGACACAAACATGCAGTAGGCGGCATCCAGGTCCGCCGCCACGCCAGAGCGCTCCCACCGGACCTCCGCGTACCTGCTGAACTTTACCCCACCCCCGCCGCTCCTTGACGCGATGGCAGCCGCCACTCTCGGGGAAGTTGGAGGCGTCCTGCACGGCATCGACGGCGTCGTCCACGTCGGCTCCCATTTCGTCCTCACGCCTCCAGGGGACAGGCCGCCTCTACTAGGGGAGCACCACCTCGCCCCCGGGGACAGGCGGTACCTGCCGACCACGCCGGATCTGAAGCACTTAAAGGGCATTCTGAGGAGGCGGCAGCTGTACTGCAGGACGGGGTTTCATCTGGAAATACTCCCGGACGGCACGGTGCAGGGGACCAGGAAGGACCACAGTCGCCATGGTAAATATTAAAAATCCGTATCGGCGGTTTCCAGAGCGCCGTGGCTCACAGCAAATGTCAGTCGGGACTCTTCGCGCGACTCTTGTCACGTCGATCGAGTCGGTATAATCCAATCACCTTGACAGCAGATTTCGATTTTTAGCCACATAAAAATAACGCAAACATGTCACGGGGAAATCTGACCGGATTCAGTCGGAGTCGCAGAGTTGAAACCAGATTTCCTTTTTTCCCCCTGAGCTTCTTTTGATCATGCGCAGAACAACTGTGTTATTCTTCTGCAGGTATTTTGGAATTCATAAGCCTCGCTGTGGGACTGATAAGCATAAAAGGAGTGGACAGCGGGCTTTACCTGGGCATGAACGACAAAGGGGAGCTCTATGGCTCTGTAAGTACCGCTTCTCCTTGGATCAATGTTGACTAAAAAATTAATAAATACATATACATTTTATTTAAAATGCGTGTTTAGAGGGAGGAAGAAAAGTGAGGATGACTTTTCATATCTTGAAATCAGAGATTCTTCCTTCTGCCGTGAAAACGTGGGATGCTGTGAAACAGAAATGTTTTATGATGCTCTTTAAACTTGAATATTTGTTTCTGCTTTGCGCCAAGTTTGAACACATTCGTATTCCGCTTTCACTTCGTGTCACATGGAGACATTTGATGATGAAGAATTCACCTGTACGCTACTGCGTCTGATGTGTGGTGTGACTGCAAGATTATTATTATTATTATTTTTAATTATTCTAGTAATTATTGTTTTAATGGTTGTAGCGGACGTCAGAGACGATAAAGTACACGAGAATCGTTGTGTTTGCAGTCCCGAGCTTACAACTTTAAAAAAAAGCTTGTGCACCTTTTTCTAACACAGTTTATCCTTCCACTCAACTTTCCATTGATTTAAAATAAAAAAAGTTCATTATTATTATTTTTTTTTAGAGGACACTTTGTGACCAGCCAGCAGCCATACCTATGACATTTTTCAGCTTCCCTACTTTTGGAGGGACTATCTGCTGTGCAATTATTTCGTCTCCACGACTCTGGAGGCCAGTACTTGACCCCAGCATAATCTTTCTGTTTTGAAACGGGGTTATTTTTGTTGTTGTTGTTTTTATTTTATTTTTTATTTGAGTTTGGAAATTGAACTAAATTACCAAAAATAAATAGATGTTTGCAAGCCATGGAGACCCATATGACCCCTCACGTTTTCACCCCTTTAAAGAGTCGCAGCAGGAGTTTGGTTTCTTCTTTGCTGAGACAAAACGTCTGCTTTTTATTTGTTTGTTTGTTTGTTTGCCTGTTTGTTTTCAGGACAAGCTCACAGCCGAGTGCGTCTTCAGGGAGCAGTTTGAGGAAAACTGGTACAACACCTACTCCTCCAACCTCTACAAACACGGAGACAAAGGGACGCGTTACTTTGTGGCTTTGAACAAGGACGGGACTCCAAGGGACGGGACCAAGTCCCGACGGCACCAGAAGTTCACGCACTTCCTGCCCAGGCCCGTGGACCCGGAGAGAGTGCCGGAACTGTACAAGGAGATCCTGGGACACAGCTGAGACGGCAAAAAGTCCCCTGATCAGGGAGGAGCTGCTTGAACTGCCCCTGTTCGGCAGGGTGCGAAATACTAATAGAATAAAAGAAAAGAAGCAAAAACAAAAGCGAGGCCGAAGACGATGCCTTGGCGCAGGCATGGCGGACCATGACAGGCAACTGGGGGGCCGATGAGGAGGAGGAAGAGGCCTCTCGTAGGAATGCACAGTGGCCATCATCTCTCTCAGCGGCCACGAAGACAGGCGAGAATGCTTCGGCATGAGGGGCTCGTTTGTTCCGGAGGCCGGACCGTCCCGTCCCAAGAGGAGCCCAGGGGGGACGAGCAGGGAAGAGCCCAGGAGCCCCGCTGCAGATCTGCATGGCGATCCTTTTTTTCTTTTTCTTTTTGTTTTTTTGAGTGAGAACCTGCTGTTGGTTGAGAAGGACTTTGAAGGAATTCGTTTTTTTTGTTGTTGTTTTTTTTATCTCAGACGTGTGTCGAGACATTTTGAAAAATGTAAAAGTCTATTTATTCTTTTTTTTTTAGATACACATATTTATCTTTATATATTTATTTATTGGAGAATATATTTTTACAGGTAGAATCACGCCATATAGAAAAAAAACAAAAACCAATCCCCACTTGGAACCGTGTCAACTATATGAAGACGGAGACGATATATTTATATTTTATCTTTATACCTGGAAAAATAGCCGTTTTACCCAGTGATGCTCTGTAATTTGACCAAATTTTAAAACTTGTTGAAAGACTCCCCCAATTTGACATGTACTCTCTCCAAGCTTTTCATTGTATGTCTCCTTTTAATGAGTGCTTTATGGCCATGCTGTTGTAAGGCGTCACACAGGGACGCCACCATTCAATGCTGACTCAAAATTAAACGCTGTCACAATATTTACCCCAAAAAAATGAAAAATGATCCAAATCGATTTATTAGTGCAAATTTTAAAACATAATTCTTCTTCCAAACTTGAAAACAATGTGACAAATCTTTCAGGTGTAATAAAAAGCATAAAACAAACACGTGCCTAATTTTTTTTTTTCCAAGTAAGCGTGCTAATCGATCATGGTTTTCACAAATTGCTAATATGTCCAGACAGTCAACATCTTTTTTTTTTATGAGAAAATTATGTGGCAGCTTTCTTTTTCTGCCATCTGACCACCAGTGCTCAGCAACAAGTGGGGGAGGAGGGAAGTGGATCTCTATACCTCATTTTCTGGCACCTGAATAAATGGACTTTAAGCTGTAGTGATGGCTTAATGGGGACTCTCAAAGACTTAACTTTTTACAGCCTTAGCATGTAGCCTGATAGTGCCCCATGGGGAATATATTATGTAATGTTCACATTGGTGAGCTCTGGAGATTTCTGAAGGCAAATGAAATGCATTGGATTTAGTTCAGGTGCATTGGAGTAAAGGGAGTTGAATTGAAAAGCATGCCACACTATTCAGCTTTTTTTTTCTTTTTTTTTTTTTTTTAGCAATTTATTTGCAGTTTGCTTCCCAGATGATTCCCTGATACACGCCCTTCACTCAGCCTGTTAGCTCAGGCTAAAAGCGTTGTTGTGCTACCCTCTTTTCCGTTGTCGGCTGAAGGATTAAACACCACTCTTTGGGGATCGACATACTTCGCTGTTACCCAGCCTCGTTTCAAACACCTCCACGTCTTTCTCCCTGATCTTTCCAACCTGAGTTTGATGATGTTCATGAAGCTTTTTGTTCACTAGTGTTCCCTAACAAAGCTTTGAGGCCTTCGCACAGCTGCATTTACGGCGACATTTAACACCTTACCCAGTGTGGCAATGTCTGAAGGCAGTTTGTATTAGAGGCTAATAACCAAATGCACAAAACATTCATTTTTATCTGTAAACTAATATATATATATATTGCATGTTCTCACCAGGTACTCTGACTTCCTGCCACATTCCACAAACAAGAGACGTCTCTCGAAATGTTGTCTGACCCGTGTTGGACCAGAGACCTGTCCGCTTGTTTCCCATTAGCTGCGTTCCAAATGTGTGTCAAACTTTGTCAATATTTTGCTAATGTGGGAATATTGTCAATACTGGAATATTGACAGTTGCCATGTTTACTTTAAATAAGAAACCTGATCACAATCACAAGTGAATAAGTTTGTCCAAGTGATAAAAAAGAACAGAAAAAAAAACACCATTATCCTCCTGCCACTTCCTGTCATCTTCTTCTTCTTTGTGGTTTTCTCCTGTAGTAACATCCTGTTGTTGATCATGCGACTCTTGTGATGCGCACAGAAAATAATCTTTTCTAATTCAGTTTATCAAAACTCTCTAAAAGCCACCGCAAAAAAAATATTTTATCTACAAACAAGTTTTTTTTTTTCAATTGCCGTGTTTCCATTCAGTAACTGTATTTTTCCTAAATCCAGTTACATAGTCAAATGAAACGCGGGTATTGATCGCTGGAGACAAGCAGCAGATGATACTTGTAGCATTTTTCTTCCCCTTGCAGCTCTTTGTTAGTTAAACAAGCAAATTCTGATGTAAGAAGTTTTCTAATCATAACTGTTTAATTTGTACAAACTGATCCCCAAAAAAACCCAAAAAACTGGCCTGTGCCTTTTGAAAATGTCTGAAGTTAAAAATAAAAAAAAAAGAAACAAAATTTTCTGACCAGAAACCTCCATTTAGGAACAGAAATGATTTCTTTTCACTTTTTGCCCTGGAGTTGAGACTGTTGTCAAAATACCAAACCTTTTAACTTTTAACAGACATAAAACAATAATAATAATAATAATGATAAAACCTCTGTTTTAGTGGTTGACTTTGACTTTGAGCGTTTAAACACGTAAACCCGCTTACGAGACCAGTGTTGTCTTTCTTTATGGACGCTGTTACGCCGACAGACTCGACGCGAACGTAAAAAAAGAGAAAAACTTCAAAGCGGAGCGTCGTGAGCGGAGAGCAGCCGATCAGGGCCAAATAAAGTGTGACCTTTAGCTGAGGCTCTGCGACTTTAAGCAGATGAATAAAAGTGGAGGTCAGAGCGATAAGGAGTAAGTAACCGGGTTAGAGACCACTTGTTGACACATCGTATTAAACAGTGGAAGAGGAGGCAGAAGAGACTTTAAGTAGGCCATGTTTGCCCCCCTCTCCCCCCTTCTCTCTCTTTTTTTTATCTACATTTCTGAGAAGACTTTCCAGAATTTGTCATTGATTTTTTTTCCACGCAGGTTTCCTTCACGGCTGACGGCAGACCTGTGCTGAAGCATGAACAGCTCCGTGTGTGATCTGTGACTGTGTGAGTCAGTGGGGTGTCTCGATATGGGCCGGCGGCTCTGCTACCGACTCCTCTCCTCCTGCCTCTGCAGCTCCACGCCGGCTCGGCGGGGCGGTGATGGGGGTGGGCTGGGGGACTCTCCACACCCGCACACACCTCGCAGCTCGGGCTTCTTGCCGTCGATCAATGGCAGAATCCAGGAGTGTATAACAACTCTTGGACATCCCCCCGTTCGTCATCCAAGGGAAAAGAGTGGGGGTGCGTCTGGATGTTTTCACTACTTGTTAAAAAGAAGAAAAAGAAAAAAAAACCTCAGTTTTTATTGAAGCTTGTCAAGTTGATGAGACCTGCATTAATCACAGTCGTGTGTTGTTGTTGTTGCTGCTTCTTCTTCTTTTTCTTTTTGCCCCTTCGACAAAGTCTAGAGTTTCACCCTGCGAAAAGTGTGCAAATCAAAGCCTGTTACCCCCCACCACTACCCACCTTCCACCCCCCAACCCCTCTTGTTCCCTTTGACGTTTTTCAGGGTGATCTCTCTCTAAACACTGCAAATCCTGACCTGTGATACCTGATGCCCACAAGTGCTTTTTGGCACCTGTTTAACTGGTGTTTTTGCAGTCTGCAGATTGCTTTCTTTTTTTTCTTTTTTTTTTTTTTGGTTCCCCACATTAGGCTACTCCTCCTCCTCCTCCTGCTGCAGGTGGTCTTCCACGGCTCCTCACAGAAAAAAAATACCTTAAACGGTCGATCCCCGACTTTCAGCGCCTCGTCAGACTCTCGAGGAAAACGAACGAAGTACGCGTGGAGTGTGTGTGTGTGCGTGTGTGTGTGCGCGTGCGCGTGCGTCAATATCAAACGCGTATGCGGCGTGGGACAACCGGGCAGGTGTGGACGTCAGTGATCTTCCTCGTCTGTCCTCGCAGCCGCGGCCAGCCAGCGCAGGTGTTCTCCGATGTCGGGCCCTGCTGTTTGCCAGCTGGAGATGCGACGACGCAGCAGCAACACAACAGGAGGAGGGTGGAAATATTGCTGGCTTTGTTGTCTGCCCCCAATTACCACGGAGCATAATTTCTATATTTAGAGAGCCTCGCTGGGGAAAGACAGGGGAGGTGCCGCGCGGAGCTCACCTGTTGCTTTAAAGCGAGGGGCCCCACTTCTAAAGAGTGTGTTTTGCGCACAGGGGACGGCGTCTGCAACTTCGTGTGGTCGCAATCCTGCAACTATTGATTTCAGGCTCTTTGTTGTTTGTTTTTTGCTTAGTAAAATTGCTGTGCGCACAAATTATTAGCTGCATGCATGTTTATGGGGATTACAGCAGGCAGAAGTGTAAGTATAGAGCTTTCCACGTGGATGGGTTTTCCAGGCTGTTAATGAGAGTCCACCCAATCAACAGTGTCAATTTCGATCTTCTTTTTTGTTTGTTTGTTTTTATACAGTCAGAAGGAATGTCTCCTTCACGCGTTCTGCTTTTGGGGTTTATTCCATTTACTGTCAAAAAGATTTTCTTTTCTTCTTCTGTTTTTTTTTTTTTTTTTTTGTAGTGTGTCGTTTGCAAGTGGCAATTACGGCAACACACCTGATTCACTGACAGTCCGCGCTGCTAAGCTGCCAGCTGAGGTGGAAAATATGCTCCTGTTTGCGTCTCCATGGAGACTCGAGCAGAAAACAGCGACGTGCAGGTGTTGCTGCACAAAAAAAGGAAGAAGAAGAAGAACGGACACATCGGCGTCTCTGCTAACAAGACAGCGATGTGTTTGCAGTTGATGGTATTGAATAGCTGCATTTCCACATTTAGAAAGTAAATTGGAAACGTGGCAATTTTGGAGAGGGGCAAAAAGTTTTTTTTTTTTTTTTTTTTTTTTTCTTGGGCCATATCGAAATTTGTTTATCGCGATAAAACTGCGATGTTATTGAAACTTGCCGATTCCGGAAGCCGGAAGTTATCACTGGCACACACCAGTTTTACTTGTGTTGCTTTCTTTTCTTCTCATACCAGCTCACATTGACCTGTCTACAGTGCCAAATTAAATAAATACATAAATAAATGTACAATTCAAGTAAAAATCAAGTAGTTATGAGAGAACTAAAAAGTGAGAGAGCTTGAAATTAGCTTTTCTAAATGCTGCATACACATATAAATAGTTCCTAATATTGGGCCAATAAGTAAATAAAATACTGCTTGTTGTGGGAATAAAAGATTTCGTTTCGTCATCATATTCATAAATGTAATAATCATTTCTCTCTATGGAACTTGCGGCACAAAAAATATCAGAAAGTTTAGGGATTCAAACCTGCAGTTTAAAGAGTAAAAATGGATTTGCTGTGTTTTTGCACCACTTTGATTTATTCTGCAGTCAATATTCATAAGTGAGCAGTGATGGTGAAAGAACTATGACAGAAAATCTCTTAATACCCTTATTGTAGTGCTAACACGATAATACATTGAATTCAATAAATTCCGTTTTATTAATTAGTGGATCAATGCATTTTATTAATTTCTAGATTTGATTGGATCGCACTCCCCTCCCCTCCCACTTGCTGACCCAAACTGTGTGGGAGTCTGCAGAGTTGCCATTCGGGTTTTCCTCTGGGAAATCCGAGGACGTCTAAACGACTAAACATGCTAATTCCCCACTAAATAACATCAGACATTAAATAGACCCTCTGCATAATGACGACTCATCCCTACAGGAGTTTATGACTGAGCTGGTTGGTTCTAATGGGACGCGCACAGCATGCAATGTCATTC